GTATGTGATGTAAACAGCGTGTTCTACTTTTTTGTTGACCTGAATATTGACTGCTTTTTCATCAAGCTGTCCTCTCAAGAGGAACATTCTCACTGTAACCAGTACCTGCAATCTGGTTCAGGTTATTAATCAACCTACCAGGGTGTTTACAAACACTACAGGAACAAGATCATCCACATGTATTGATCACAATTTTACTAATACTGTAGAACTATGTTTTAAAGCTGTATCCGTACCCATTGGATGCAGTGATCACAATATAGTGTCTATATCCAGGAAAGCCGAAGTTCCAAAAGCTGGGCCTAAAATATTGTATAAGAGATCATACAAAAATGTTACTGTGACGCTTATGTGGATGATGTTAAAAATATTTGTTGGTCTGATGTGAATAATAAGGAGCATCCGAACACTGCACTTGATTAATTTATAAAATTGCTTCTTCCAATTATTGATAAACATGCACCTGTTAAGAAACTGACTCTTAAAACTGTTAAGGCTCTACAGATTGATGAGGAATTGAACAACTGTATGGTTGAAAGAGATAGGGCAAAAGGAGTGGCTAATAAGTCTGGCTGCACATCTGACTGGCTGACTTACTGCAAATTGAGAAATTATGTGACTAAACTCAACAAAAATAAGAATAAACTGTATTATGAAGCCAATCAGATGGCTTATTCATCACAAAACCATTTGATGTTAGCAATTATTTCATTGGCAAAGTGAGAAAACTTAGGCAGAATATGCTATCAACAAACAGTGAGCCATGATTTTTCATGCATATAAAACTAATAATGAAAGAAAAGCATTGTAAGTTTGAATTTTTTAGAGTTAGTGTGGGAGAGGTGGGAAAATTATTGTTATCGATCAATAATCCTGGCATTGGCTACTTATATGTAAAGCTAATGAGGATAATAGCTGACTCTATAGCCACTCGTATCTGTCATATCTTTATTCTGAGCTTAGAGGAAAGTGTTTGTCCTCAGGCCTGGAAGGTAGCCAAAGTCATTCTGCTACCAGAACTCAGAGGGTTTTCTTTAATGGAAGCTTCTCTATTGTCAAACATGTAAAGTGTGTTGTACCACAGGGCAGCTCTCTAGGACCTCTACAAATTGTTTGCATATTTAATTTACACACAGCACTGACACACATATTTACCCCACCAGACTTTCCACCAGGGGTCTTTCACAGTCCCCAGGTCCAGAATAAATTCAAGGAAACGTACAATATAATACAGAGTCATGAGTGCATGGAACTCCCTTCCATCTTATATTTATTTTTTATTTTTTATTTCACCTTTATTTAACCAGGTAAGCCAGTTGAGAACAAGTTCTCATTTACAACTGCGACCTGGCCAAGATAAAGCAAAGCAGTGCGATAAAAACAACAACACAGAGTTACATATGGGGTAAAACAAAACATAAAGTCAAAAATACAACAGAAATATATATATATATACAGTGTGTGCAAATGTAGCAAGTTATGGAGGTAAGGCAATAAATAGGCTATAGTGCAAAATAATTACAATTAGTATTAACACTGGAATGATAGATGTGCAAGAGATGATGTGCAAATAGAGATACTGGGGTGCAAATGAGCAAAATAAATAACATTATGGGGATGAGGTAGTTGGGTGGGCTAATTTCAGATGGGCTGTGTACAGGTGCAGTGATCGGTAAGGTGCTCTGACAACTGATGCTTAAAGTTAGTGAGGGAGATAAGAGTCTCCAGCTTCAGAGATTTTTGCAATTTGTTCCAGTCATTGGCAGCAGAGAACTGGAAGGAATGGCGGCCAAAGGAGGTGTTGGCTTTGGGGATGACCAGTGAGATATACCTGCTGGAGCGCATACTATGGGTGGGTGTTGCTATGGTGACCAATGAACTAAGATAAGGCAGGGATTTGCCTAGCAGTGATTTATAGATGGCCTGGAGCCAGTGTGTTTGGCGACTAATATATAGTGAGGACCAGCCAACAAAAGCGTACAGGTCACAGTGGTGGGTAGTATATGGGGCTTTGGTGACAAAACGGTGACAAAATATAGCACAAGTGAACAGCAAACCTGGTTTAAAAAAACACGTAAAGCAACACCTCATGGCACAATGCCTCTCCCCCATGTGACCTATTTGTTGTGTGTATGTACTGACATGTATGTGTAACTGACAGATGCACACACACACACAGTACATGTCGATGTTTTTAAATGTACGTAAATTGTAAAGTATTTTGTCTGTAATGTCTTTTTTGTTATATGTCGGACCCTAGTAAGACTAGCTGTCACCATTAGCGTCGGCTAATGGGGATCCTAATAAATCAAATCAAAATACCCAAGAGTGGTAAAGCGGCCTTTACTGGTTCGAACAGCAGACTTATCAGCTTGCTGCCAGCTCTTAACAAACTGATGGAATAAAATGTGTTTGAACAAATACAAAGCTATTTCTCTGTAAATCAATTTTTTAAAAACGGACTTTAGGCATGCCTATAGAGAAGGGAACTCAACATGTACCGCACTGACAATAACTGATGACTGGTTTAAATAAATAGAGAAGAAGAAGATTGTGGGAGCTTTTCTGTTAGATTTCAGTGCAGCCTTTGATATAATTGACCGTAACCTGTTGTTGAGAAAACTTATGAGTTATGGCTTTTCAACCTCTGCCATATCGTGGATTCAGAGCTATCTATCTAATATAACTCAGAGGGTTTTATTTAATGGAAGATTCTCTAATGTCAAACATGTAAAGTGTGGTTTAGCGCAGGGCAGCTCTCTACTCTTTTCTATTTTTACCAATGACCTGCCACTGGCATTAAACAAAGCATATGTGTCCATGTATGCTGGTGATTCAACCATATACGCGTCTGCAACCACAGCTAATGAAGTAACTGAAACCCTTAACAAATGGTTGCAGTCAGTTTTGGAATGGGGTGGCCAGTAATAAACTGGTCCTGAACATCTCAAAAACGAAGCATTGTATTTGGTACAAATCATTACCTAAGTTCTAGACCTCAGCTGAATCTGGTAATGAATGGTGTGGCTGTTGAACAAGTTGAGGAGACTAAATTACTTGGTGTTACCTTAGATTGTAAACTCTTATGGTCAAAACATAGATGCAATGGTTGTAAAGATGGGGAGAGTTTTGTCCTTAATAAAGAGATGCTCTGCTATTTTGACACCACACAGTCCTGCAGGCTCTAGTTTGATCTTATCTTGATTATTGTCCAGTCATATGGTCAAGTGCTGCAAGAAAGACCTAGTTAAGCTGAAGCTGGCCCAGAACAGAGCGTTACGTCTTGCTCTTCATTGTAATCAGAGGGCTAATATTAGAGCATCCAGTCGGGCTGTATCACCGCCTGGTACGGCAACTGTCTGCCGAACGCATTACCGGGGGCAAACTACCCACCCTCCAGGACACCTATAGCACCCGATTGAACAGGAAGGCCAAAAGGATCATCAAGGACATCAACCACCCGAGCCACTGCCTGTTCACCCCGCTATCATCCAGAAGGCGAGGTCAGTACAGGTGCATCAAAGCTGGGACCAAGAGAATGAAAAACAGCTTCTATCTCAAAGCCATCAGACCGTTAAATAGCCATCACTAGCACATTAGAGGCTGCTGCTGCATATTGAAATCACTGGCCATTTTAAGAAATGGAACACTAGTCACTTTAATAATGTTTACATATCTTGCACTACTCATCTCTTATGTATATACTGTATTCTATAATATTATTATATGTCTTAGTCCATGCCGCTCTGTCATTGCTTGTCCATATATGTATATATTCTTAGATTCCATTCCTTACTTAGATTTGTGTGTATTGGGTATTTGTTGTGAAATTGTTAGATATTACTTGTTAGATATTACTGCACTGTCGGAGCTAGAAGCAAAAGCATTTTGCTTCACCCGCAATAACATCTGCTAAACACGTGTATATGACAAATACAATTTGATTTGATTTGATTAGTACTATGCATGGCCAGTCTCTCTTGGCTAAGAGTTGAGGAATACTGACTGCATCACTTCTTGTTTTTATAAGAAACATCAATGTGTTGGAAATTCCCAATTGTTTGCATAAGCAACTTACACACAGCACTGACACACACACACTTACCCCACCAGACATGCCACCAGGGGTCTTTTTCGTTATGTGTCGGACCCCAGTAAGACTAGCTGTCGCCATTGGCATCGGCTAATGGGGATCCTAATAAATAAAATCAAAGCACGTCTTTGTGATGTGAAGGCTAAGGGCAGAAAGGCACAGTGGCTCCGGATATGCGCTCAACCTTGGATCAGCCATAACAAAGACGCAGTCATGACTGCAATGCAAGGGTCTCCTAGCTATCCTAGATGAATGAGGTGATCATTAAATTAAAATCACAACATATGACTTAATACCATGACTGCTATTCATGTAGAGCTAAAGTACTACTCTCTTGATAGTGATACTGCTACTGCAGTTGCTTTCTCATTATTCAAATATACAGATAATAGATAGGTTATATTACTGCTATCAGCACCTCTAGCTTCCACTATAATAACTATTGCTTCTCCTATCAAACACACTATATAATGTATTGTCTATAACTGTTACTACTGCTCCTGGCAGTGAAACAGTATTGCTTTGTTGATTTATGCCAGCACTACTTCTGCTGGGGGACCATGAGGGTAAAGTAGATGGAAACAAATTGTTTATTCATCCTAACCAGAGGAGGAAAGCTTCCAAAGTATCTGTAGAGCACAGTGAATAAAGAGTGACAGGTGCTCTCACTGTTAAGCAGACTATGACTATCACTTCTACAGTGCTAGTGCTGTGCATCCTTCACAACCAATACTTGTCATTAGGTTCCATGATGGTACATAACATTGTACACGTAAAGCAAGAAGTGCTTTTACCTTGATGAGGGCCATAACTTGCATATTCTTCAAGCACTAGCCTACTTGTCACCATCATGAGTGGAAACAGTGAGTGTGAAGAAACAGAGGGGATTTTTTACTTTTACTATCACTCATGACAAACACAGTGAATACAGAGTGACATATGATCGTACCGTGATCCGAATAGTGACGGTGGCCTCACCGGGGGGCATGGTCCCAGCCTGGTCCACAGCCTCCACCAGGAAGGTATAGGTGGACCCCGTACCCATACTATCCAGGTCCTCAAAGTCCAGGGTCTGCAGGACTGACAGTTCGCCTGAGATCGGGTTCACCAGGAACAGCTTCATGTCCTCTGCAGACTTGATACGGTACGTTACGTTAGAGAACAGGTCTGCATCCACCGCCTGGGATGGAGGGAGAGAGAGAGGAGAGAAAGAGATAGAGAGAGAAACAGAGATAGGGATGAGAGAGAGAGAGAGAGATAGGGATTGCGAAGAGGAGAGAGAGAGAGGAGAAGCGAGAGAGAGCTCGCGTCGCGCTAGCGCTCTCTCTCTCTCGCTCTCTATATCTCTAGCTCTCATATCTCTCTAGCTCATCGATCCGCTCTCTATCTCTCTCGCTCTCTCGGGCTTCTTTCTGCAATATATTGCTAATTCAATATATGCTCATTTGTTTAGACTGTGTAGAAATGTGATAAAATGAATACAAGCACTGATCAAATTAATCTCAGGGAAATTGTTTACTTGGCCCTTTATAAGTAAAATAATTAAGCTCATAGGAACAGTTATCCTAGTGGCAGAGAGAGGTGATTATAGAAATGCATGCATGCACACACACACACATACATACATACACAGACATCCAACTGACAACAAAAACTAAATGTGGTCTGTGGGAGTGAGAATCTTTCAGGTGGAAGGCTTTGATGTGGAGATGTGAAGGGAGTTACAATATACAATTATATAAAAATATAAAATACATGTATATATAAATAGATAGAAAGAAAAGTAACCACATATAATCACTCTAGAGGAGAGAGGCACGGATCAGAGATTAATCTGCCTGCGATGGCTGTCTGTAACTGGGCCTTCTTTACAGACAGGTGTCACCCCCACCACCAACCCCATTCCTGTCTGCTCCTGCTCTGGCTGAAGATGTTGTTCATTTCTTGGGAGAATAGCGTTGTCATGGTTGCGGGTGTCAGTCACTCACAATATGCCGATAATTACTTTTCCTCTGCTCCGGCTTTGCTTTGGCTCTCGCTGGGGTATTCCCATGGTTCTCTCCCTCAGTGCAAACAACAAGAGGAGGTGCTTTTCAGTGCGAAATTTACCCGAGAAGCCTTCCATCAAGTTCCAAGGTGCTCAGGGTTTGTCAAGCGCTACAATAATGTTTGTCAAGAGAGGAAAAATTATCCACCGCTTAAGCCCGATTCAGAGCTTTGACGAGACACTGGCTTTTAGTCTTACTCCATTTGAGACCAAAGACACCCAGAGAGTTCTGACGTACCAGACTCCTACGATAGTAAAATGTAAGTGTTTACCCTCCGTTGCGTGTGTGAAACACTAAAGAGCCTGGAAGAGAATGGCGATTGAAATGGAGGCCAAATCGGCTGATAGCTGGAGACGCTTTGAAGTTAAAGGATGTTAAAGGGTGCATTTAATAGTCAAGCTGTTTGAAGCCCTTACTGCCCTGCACAAAGCCTGACAGAGAGATAGAGACAGAGAGAAGCTACAGAGTCCCCTCCCCCACACCCACACTTACACTGAGTCTCAGAACCACCATGCTCATTGCTCATACACATATTCAGTGTAGCTGTAGGACACATATGCACAGACATGCGCACTCGCCCACGCACACACGCACACACACACACACACACACACACACACACACACACACACACACACACACACACACACACACACACACACACACACACACACACACACACACACACACGTACACTGAAGCGCAGCACCACGGTGCCCACAGGGCTGTTCTCGGGGACGTTGACAATGTAGGTCTTCTGGGAGAACTCTGGGCTGTTGTCATCGATGTCTATCACCAGGACAGAGAGGGTGAACGTGGTCCTGCGGGGGTCCACCGCTCCATCAGAGGCCTCCACTATCAGGTCATACCGACTCCTGAGCTCCCGGTCCAGAGGCACTGTGGTGAATATGCTGCCATTCTCGTTGATGGTGAAGACACCTAGGTGGTTGACTATCCTGTAGCGCACCAGACCATTAGCTCCTGCATCTGGATCTGTGGCCTGCAGGGGAAGCGGAAAACATAGTATAGTAAATATGTGGAGTGAATTAGGGAAAGGTAAATATGGGAATACATAAGCAGTAAGGTACAAGGGGTTGTGCTATATCATGAATATAGTCAAAAGTTAAAATGTGTTAAAACGTGTTGTTACGCATGCACGCACACACACACACTTTACTGTACACTTAAAAATGACTAAGCTAACACGGTTCTCATAAATTTAAGCCCAGTGTTAATTTCAATCTAATTTTCTCTTCACATTGAGATTAGTGTCTTTGTCACAGACTCATGACTAATCATCAGCAAGTTCAAAGGGACAGAAGCCTCTTCCTATGAAGTCTGCATTTCATCAAAGGGAATTCCTTGAATGCTAAAAATAAGAAAAATATGAAAAATCCTGGGACAGGGTACATTTTGAGGATCATTCAGTGTAGACAGAAAGTTAGTTACTTAACACATTTTAAATCCCTCATGAATATGACAGTTCATTAGTATTCCAGTGTGTGAGTGTGTGCAAGCTTGTGTGTGAGTGTGTGCCAGCCTGGTGTGTGTGTGCCAGCATTGTTTTTTTGTGTGAACAGCAGGCACTAATTCCTCTCTGTTGTAATCATGGTAACAGGGAAAGAGAGAGCAGTTGGGAGAGAGAGAGATAAGGGGGAAACACTTTGAAATCTGCCCCTGTTCGATTCAAGCCTGACTGAGTTATTAACCCCGGGCTAGGGATGGACAGAGTAGCACAGAGAGAATCAAAGGGCTTAGATGGGGTAAGGGTGATGTACCCCCATTTTGTATTACACAGAAAGCCAGATAAATGCTCAAAGCCAAAGCTGAAGATTGAGCCCTGGCGTTAAACCTTCAGAAAACAGAAGAAAGAACAGCATGCTGATATGTACAAATTAACCACAACATTACTCTGCAGTTAGTTTACATCATAATGCACCCCACAGCTCACAGACTTTTCAACAGGCCAAATGCCTGTAATACATAGTCAATTCATGAATTATTAATCAGGAATATTTTACTAGCCTCCCGTGAACGACAAACACACAAGCACACTTTAGCACTGCAGGGTTGGTGTTATGATGGGTTTTCTGGTATCGAGGAATTCAGGATGCAAGAAAATAGTTAAACACTTAGATGGAGAGTTAATACAAAGTATTTAATAGATACAGTACCAGATTCAATGTAACAAGTCAATTGCCTCTTGCCATTTGAATGATAGGCATACAAATCTCTCAGTTTATATACTGCTTTGCAAGCTAATTCTATCCAACAGTTGCCAACCATTATTGGGTGTCACTCCCAACCACAAAAATATCACCCTAGATGGTATCATATTGCACCCTAGTCAGGACATTCCATCACATACTCATTCTAAAAGTAACATCAGTGGCCCCCACAGCCTTCTTGGCATGCATACCTTCTGGCACCCACCAGGGACAGAAATAAATGGAATGTCCTCATCCTCAAAAATCCTATGAAACACCATATCAGTCACATTTACAAATACTGTATTAAATACGCCATATCAGTTGGTTAGTAGCAGTTTTTTATGCACTTAAGGTTTACACAGGCAGTCCAATTCTGATAATGTTCCCAATTATGGGTAAAAGATCTGATCTGATTCGTCAAAAGACAAATTAGTGAAGACATATCAGAATTGGGCCGTCTGTGTAAACGCAGCCTAAGCGTTCTATGGAAATAATGCAACTCTGCTGAAGGTGAGTACCACTCCGCTGCACGTCATTGCACACACCTTCTGTGTCATGCATTATTTCCCTAGAACCCATAGCCCCTCATTGATTATCCCTTATTTATGCTTCAGGATTAGCATTAAGATACTTAGACGATATATGCAGTGCAAACCCCATGCATCGGTAACATCTGCCTGCAGTTTAAGGGTCAAGTACTGCACTTACAGTATATGCCCTTCTATGGGGGATTGAGACATGAGTGCTGGTCATAGACCTCCATAAAAAGGGGCTGTCATACAAAATTGTTCTGTAAATTAGGGATTAACACAGGTAACCGGGATCCCAAGATTGTCCAGGGACCACTCTTCACATTTCAATAAAAAATAAAATGACAAGACCCGGGAAAATAAAAAATTATCCCCAATGTCGCACTAATGCAATTCCACAAAATACACAGCATGCACAGCAGCAGATTGGCAAAAAAAATGAATAGCACATGATCCAAACAGGTTTTCGCATGGAAGCCATTAGCCTAGCGTATTTACTTCACACAAAGTCACTTTAAATTCAAAGCACACACATGATTGACACTGCTGGACTGCACACTAGACCCTAATGCAGTTTAGAGTTCTCATCAGAACTGAAAATTCGAGCCCAGGTCTGGTACGACATCACAGAAATTAAATGAGCCCGAACATGAAAAAATACAGATTTCTAGAAAACAGTACGCTATATTGATTTAAACTGGTGTTGAGAACAACACGACAGAGGCGGGCGGCAGGGGAATGAGGAGACAAGAAAACAGCCATTGGGCCTAGAAAAAGCGCAGAGAGAGGAAAACTCAATTTAGTTATGATAAACTGAATTATGACAATATTGGAATAAAGTAAGCTAATGCAATTGAAGACATGTATAAAATCTTTGCTCATAATGAAGCTCCCAAAGTCATATCCAACCATTATACTAATTTAAAGCAACAGTCATGTGTGGCCACATAGATCATCATTTCAGCACCGTTTTGATTGGAACAGCGCCATCGTGCTGCTTTGAGACATACGTGGGGGACTCGTCTAGATAAATCCATTAATCTCTGATTTTGTTTTCACTGAATCTCCGAATGGATATTAGGCTGGGGAAATGTTAGCTAAGTTGAGGTGAGTGCTAAAACGAGTCCTATGTCGACATAACCTGAAAGCCGCTCAGCGAGGAAGAAGCCACTGCTCCAAAACCGCCATAAAAAAGCCAGACTACGGTTTGCAACTGCACATGGGGACAAAGATCGTACTTTTTGGAGAAATGTCCTCTGGTCTGATGAAACAAAAATAGAACTGTTTGGCCATAATGACCATCGTTATGTTTGGAGGAAAAAGGTGGCAGCTTGCAAGCTGAAGAACACCATCCCAACCGTGAAGCACAGGGTGGCAGCATCATGCTGTGGGGGTGCTTTGCTGCAGGAGGGACTGGTGCACAGCATCATGAGGAAGGAAGATTATGTGGATATATTGAAGCAACATCTCAAGACATCAGTCAGGAAGTTAAAGCTTGGTCGCAAATGAGTCTTCCAAATGGACAATGACTCCAAGCATACTTCCAAAGTTGTGGCAAGATGGCTTAAGGACAACAAAGTAAAGGTATTGGAGTGGCCATCACAAAGCCTTGACCTCAATCCTATGTGTGGGCAGAACTGAAAAAGTGTGTGTGAGCAAGGAGGCCTACAAACCTGACTCAGTTACACCAGCTCTGTCAGGAGGAATGGGCCAGAATTCACCCAACTTATTGTGGGATGCTTGTGGAAGGCTAACCGATACGTTTGACCCAAGTTAAACAATGTAAAGGCAATGCCACCAAATACTAATTGAGTGTATGTAAACTTCTGACCCACAGGGAATGTGATGAAAGAAATAAAAGCTGAAATAAATAATTCTCTCTACTATTATTCTGACATTTCACATTCTTAAAATAAAGTGGTGAACCTACTAGGATTAAATGTCAGGAATTGTGAAAAACGGAGTTTAAATGTATTTGGCTAAGGTGTATGTAAACTTCCGACTTCAACTGTATTTACACCTGTTGTGACATATATCGTGTTATTTTATGGCTGGTTATGACACCTACATAAGAGTGTCAAAACCCACATTAATTCAACATTTCCCTGTCAAATCCATTGTTGTTGATTCCTTTGTTGTTGATGTAATTAATTCTTTACAATGTATTCTTTAAATAACTTGTAGAAAATACACTTTATGACACTGTCATAAAGCATTATGACCATCTGTGTCACTTTACTTGGACTAAGAAAATGCACTTCATGACACTGTCAAGAAGCATTATGACCATCATAATCATATAAGCCCGATAAGCCTATCACGTACATGCCCTTATGTCAGTCATCAGTCAAAAGGAGGGTGTCTTGTCCTGCTCCTGAAATCTGCTCCTACATTCATCCCAGACATCAGAAACAGAGCATTGGGGTAGGTGCATGTCTGACATCAATGTGTGCACAATTACAATGATAATTAAATATGGTAAATTGCAGAAAATGTTATAAAAAACATAAACATACTGCTGACACGTAGGCTATGGTAAAATTGAATGTTTTGCCTTGTGTGGTATGTTTTGTGGGTTTTGACACTATTATGTAGGTGTCATAACCAGCCATAAAATAACGCAATATATGTCACAACAGGTCTAAATGCGTGTGTCTTGACAGTGCTATGACCATATTATGAAAGGTTATGACAGGTTATGTCAGCTGTTATGACATATTGTGACATGGTTATGACTGTGCCATAACGTGTTATGACTCTGGTGGTCAAGTAAAGTTGGTGAAGTATAACAACCAGCATAGCTGTGCAACTCAAGGGCCAGACTTAAATAGCCCATGGAGAAGAAACAGCTTTATTTTTGAATAAAATGCACCAATGCATTTGTTGTGTATGTATTACTTCCTCTATCAATTTATGTGCCATATGTAGTCTATGGGAGTAACTTAGCAAACTAAATAATAGAGATGTGGGACCTTTAAAGTCAGAGATCAGTCTTGGTGTTCCAGGGTTGGTGGATGTGAAGAGAGATTAGAATGTGTGTCAGCATGATGAAACACAAAGTAACTCTCACCTTGAGGAGCTCCCGTTCCCATACAAATTACCCTTATCTCCCTTCTAACACTTTAAAAAGGAATCATTATTGTATGTAAATTGTCATTCACTGATCTGCTATGGCACAGTGTGGGTGAACATACAATTTAGTGGGAGTTTGACCTACCTATCATATCCCTCTGCAGAACCGTAACCATTCCACAGATTAAATGAATGAATACAAAAGTTATGGAAGTTTGTATTTCTTCTTTTTTAAACATGGTCTTGATGCAACATGGTCTTGGCTAGGAAAACTGTATATTTGTTTTTTCTTTCTCAGCATTTGTTGTTACTGTTTTTCAGAATAAACACTTACCCCATGTTCCAAACAAAGTTAAAAGTTAAACAAGGTTAAAAAATATATATATATCCATTGTAGGCTTTTTGCATTTCAAGAGTATTTAAATATTCCATTATAAGTAATGAAATGAAGAGGTAATAATGTGATATTGACAACTTATTATAATAGTTAGATTTATACTCAGATAAAGGGCCAGATGCAGCAATAATCAGGGTCATAGTTATGTAGGTTGATGGTTCTGGTAATAACTACACTAAGTAGTGGGCATGTGTAAATAAAGCATCCAAAAGCCTCTTACAATTAAAGGGCAATTCGGCCACTTTACAACCTTATATTCATTATCTACAGCACCATACTAGTGTCTACATATGTAAAAAAAGGCCCGTTCCTATGATCTGTAGTTTAAAAACCAAGAAGAAAGGTCCTACATGGTAGGATTAAATGTTTTTTCAAAACTGTGATTTTCAAAACCTGCAACGAGTTTCTTGCCAGAGGGAGGGTATTTTCTTTCTCCTCACGTCACCGCGAATCTCATAGTGTTTGAAAATCACTGTTTATAAAATGCTTTAACTTTTGATGATATCATCGGGTAGAACTTCGTAACTATTTTTTTCCTACAAAACGTAGAAATAAGCCGTTTTCACAAACTGCATGTAGACACTGGTAATGTGCAGGAGATACTGAAAATGAGGTTGTGGTGGAATTGCCCTTTAACTCTTCATGTGTTACCAGTTATCAGAGTGCAGCCCAAACCAAAGTTCTGACGTCACTAGGGAAAAGTAATAATTTTGATCCCAACTCAAAAACATATTTTGATCTTTTAGCAAAGATCAATTAGAGCCTGTTGGAGTTATCACCACGTGCGTTGCTGTTGACACCGATGGGACGTTGGAAGTAGCTGGGTTCGAGGAAGGGTCAAGAAGGCCTGCTTAGTAAAGACGTGCCAGGTAGAAAGGTGGAAAGAAGGGAAATACCATGAAATGGCAGGTGAAAGGAATGTTGTTTTTCTTCGTATTCATGTTCAAGGTATTCATGTGAATTTGCAACAACATACTACGACATTGTGTGCATCTTTAGCCCATCAGATGTGCTTACCGTGACTTGACCCACAAACATGTTTGCCTCCTCCTCCTGGACAGTGAGGTTTCTGGGCAGGTTCAGGTCAAACTTAGGGTTGTTATCGTTGACATCAGTCACCACTATGTTCACTGTGGTGATGGAGGTCTGGAAACAAAGATAGAGAGAAAAAAATAAGTTGTGTGTGTGCACAAGCAGACAGACATACTGTATGAGTATGTGCGTATTTGCGAAGGATTGAAGAGCTATGAGGGAAATCAAAACTACATTAATTGACCTTCTGTACGATGATACTGTCACACCCTTTAATGCCTGTTGTTTCTTGTTAGTTTGGTCAGGGTGTGAATGTTGATAGTTTCTAGAATGTGTATTTCTATGTTGGCCGGGTGTGGTTCCCAATCAGAGGCAGCTGTCGATCGTTGTCTCTGATTGGGGATCATACTTAGGTAGCCATGTTGCCTACCTGTTTTGTGTGATCTTGTTTCTGTGTGTTTGGCTTGTTTGATGTTAGCCTTTAGAACTTCACGTTACGTTGCTTTTGTTGTTTTGTACGGTGTTTATTCAATAAACGAACATGTACGCATACCACACTGCCCTTGGTCCAATCCTGTACTCAACGAACGTGACAGATACAATGTAAATAATTGAATTACAATTTGTCAAACAAAAGCGAAAGCCGCAAAGAATCTAAAATATTTTCTGAAAGTTTTGGAAATCAATTTCCGAAGCAGACTTATAGAACAGCATCTGTGATGACTAGGCAAAGACAAATAGACTCTACTAATGAATACATAAGGCTATCCGAAGAAACAATGTAATGAAGTCAATACAGAGACACTAAATCAAATAGTTACTGAAGCTAACTCATACAGACTTCAATTACACAGAGAATGCAGAGAATACAATATGGTCGCTAACAACTAAGGCTGTTAGCACATCTACAGTACATCTAAAGTGCATCTATAGTACAACTCTGGACCCAAGTAACTGTCTGACCTCATCCTACCTTCCTGCCCCACATGCACCCTTCGCTCCTCCAGGTCCATCTCCCTTCAGCAGCTCCACAGCACACAAAAAATTATGGGTGATAGTGCTTTCAGTTGTGCGGCTCCTCGGCTGTGGAACACACTTCCAGTCACTGTCAGGGCTGCAGAGTCTCTGGCCTCGTTTAAGGCACAGCTAAAGACTGAGCTGTTCAGAAAAGCATTCAAGGACCTATTTTAATTATGTTCTCCTGTCCACCGGTTCTGACGACACTTTGATTGTTGTCTGCTTACAATGTTCTGCGTTTTGCATTGTTTTTATTATTTATTATTTTCTTCAGCGCCTTGGGTGTGAGAAAAGCGCTTTACAAATTAAATGAAATATTATTAATTATCTTTGTGGATATACAGTACACACAGCAGATTTGGGATTGGAATTTCAACACCCACAGTGTTAAATTGAACACTTTCTTAGAGATTATACTGTATGTGATAATCTCAAATAGTGTTAAAGTAACACTTTTCAAAGCATTGATAAACTAACATTTGGGATGTTGCACATTCTGACTTAAAAGCCCCAGTGCAGAAAAAAAACATGATTGCCCTGTGTTTTATATACATTTACACACTATGAGGCTGGAATGATACTGTGAAATTGTGAAATTTATGATAATACCCTTTTAGTGTTTGAAAAGACTGCCTGAAATGTTAGCCTGTTATGGTGGGATGGAGTTTTGGCCTGTCTGGTGACATCATCAGGCAGTAAATTAGTTAATAGACCAATAAGAAAGAGAGTTCCAAACCACTCTGCCAATAACAGCTAGTTTTCCGTTTTCCCCTCCCCACAAAGACCACTCCCAAACAGTCCTAGCAAAGTTCTTGCTTGATAAATTGCTCTTTGCTAAGAAGCTATTTTTGATTATTTTGACAATTTTTAATTGAAAACAATCACAATAAGGTACTTAATTGCTGGTAATAATATATGATTTGGGAAGTCAAACAATGACACCAGTATACAACCCTCCAATGCCCTCGTATAAATCACTTGGAAATATAGCTGAATATGCATGTCTTTAATCCCACCGTGCATTGAGGCAATGCCGTGCTGACACAATGGTGCAAAATGGCCTCCTTGGGGGTGAAAGGGAGGGGAAAAAACACAATGTAAGACAAAGAATTCCCAGGAGGAAGGCATTTGAAGTTGTCCTCTTAAAGCATTTCAGAGGTGTAGAAGAGGAGGGAAGTGACCTGGTTAATGTCCCCTTCATCTCTCCGTCATCTACAGGGAACAGCTTTCACATTGTTTTCTCTCACATTGTTTAAACCCATAATCATCTCTTTCCTCAGATGGTCTAATACCCCCTGTACAATATCACGTCATCTCTCTCTGAGAGGTCGAAGGTTTTCAACATCATCACGTCATCTCTCTCTGAGAGGTTGAAGGTTTACAACATCATCACATTATCTCTCTCTCTGAGAGTTTGCACTTTGAGAAAAAAGAGAACAGATAAGAATAAAATAATAGTTACATCCAATGTAGGGCCTCCTCTCTTCCTTCACATTTCATGACAGAGCAGACTAAACCTTCTATGATGGACTTCATATACCCAAGCTCCTGAAGGCTAATTAGGTGTGGGTCTTGCGTGGGCAGGCGCTATCAAAGCCCAGCATTTTCCTGCTACAGCATCGTATGTCTGGATGTGGCCATCAGTTGGATGCTGATTAATGAGCTCCTATTATTTATTTATCAGAGGAAATAGTTGTCTGTGATCTCCCCTCTCTGTAACCACAGTTCCTAAGACATGGCCACGGTGCCAACAGTACAGCCTTTGAAGTGAAAACACGGTTGGAGCCCGAGTGTGTGAGGCCATGGTGAGGTTTGATGATCTACGTAGGCTGGCACAGTCACCTTATATGAGGGTTAAGGACAGTGGGTTATCTAACAACAGTAGTTAGTCACTATGGGTGATGGGTTAGCTCTTTAGACAACTTAGCAACATTACTATTATAATGGCCTGCAGGGTGTTAACAAGCCTAAGATCACCATGCGCAATGCCAAGCGTCGGCTGGAGTGGTGTAAAGCTCACCGTTATTGGACTCTGAAGCAGTGGAAACGTGTTCTCTGGAGTGATGAATCACGCTTCACCATCTGGCAGTCCGACAGACTAATCTGGGTTTGGCGGATGCCAGGAGAACGCTACCTGCCCCAATGCATAGTGCCAACTGTAAAGTTTGGTGGAGGAGGAATAATGGTCTGGGGCTGTTTTTCATGGTCCGGGCTAGGCCCCTTAGTTCCAGTGAAGGGAAATTTTAACGCTACAGCATACAATGACATAATAGACGATTCTGTGCTTCCAACTTGGTGGCAACAGTTTGGGGAAGGCCCTTTCCTGTTACAGCATGACAATGCCCCTGTACAGAAAGCAAGATCCATACAGAAATGGTTTTGTTGAGATCGGTGTGGAAGAACTTGACTGGCCTATCCTCAACCCCATCGAACACCTTTGGGATTAATTGAAACGCCGACTACAAGCCAGGCCTAATCGCCCAACATCAGTGACCGACTGTTATAGCCGTACCTTCAGGCTCTGATCAGTCCCTACACCCAAACGAGGGCATTGCGTTCATCCACCTCTGGCCTGCTGGCTCCCCTACCTCTGCGGAAGCATAGTTCCCGCTCAGCCCAGTCAAAACTGTTCGCTGCTCTGGCACGCCAATGGTGGAACAAGCTCCCTCACGACGTCAGGACAGCGGAGTCACTCACCACCTTCCGGAGACATTTGAAACCCCACCTCTTTAAGGAATACCTGGGATAGGATAAAGTAATCCTTCTACCCCCCCCCCTTACCCCAACCCACCCCCCCCCCCCAAAAAAAATAAATAAATAAATAAATAAATAAAAATAAATTGTAAAGTGGTTATCCCACTGGCTATAAGGTGAATGCACCAATTTGTAAGTCGCTCTGGATAAGAGTGTCTGCTAAATGACGTAAATGTAAATGTAATAGCATATTCATGCCCATGATTTTGGAATGAGAAGTTCGACGAGCAGGTGTCCATATACTTTTGGTCATGTAGTGTATGTAAGGGAATCACGAGGGGGGTCCTGCTCTCTCCCTGTCAGGTTCCCATGGTTACACAAGTTCTGTTATAATTACAGAACCCTTGGGCACCTCACATCACACCTCTTTCCCTCTCGCTCTCTCTCTCGCTCTCTCGCTCTCTCGCTCTCTCTCTTATTCTCTCTCTCTCTTCCACCCCAACACTACCACTCTCTTTCCATTGTGACAGCAGCTCCTGATGGGCGGCAGGGTCAGAAAGTAATTTTCCTGTTCCCATGGGGACTCCATCGTAATAGACACACACAAGCACACAGACACAAGTTTGCAGGTCAACATCCGTACATGCACCCGCCCATCCGCACATACACATACACAACCACAAACACACACCTGAGGGATTGAGGAACTAATTTTACACTGAGGTCAATGTGGTTATGGGCCCCTGGTGAGGGTAAGGATTGGAGTTCAGGGTCCCTACAATCCTTCATTCAACATTAGGACACAGAGTGCCAGTGCTGGACACCATATTCTGAGAGGTCAGGGCATCCTTCTCTCTCTTTATTTGTCTGCCACTCCAACTTTGACCTTCTCTCCATTTTACAGCCTTACCTTCTCCCTCTGTCTTCCTCTACCATCATACATAATAGAAAATGCACAAATTGTCACGCCCTGGCTCTGGGACTCTGTTTTGTTGAGCCAGGGTGTGTTGTTTCTATGTGTTTTGTGTTCTAGGTTTATTATCTAGCTTTTGTGTTTCTATGTTGGCCGGTGTGGTTCTCAATCAGAGGCAACGTGTATCAGCTGTTGCTTGTTGTCTCTGATTGGGCACCATACTTAGGCAGCCTGTTTTCCACAGTGTGTTGTGGGATCTTGTTCTGTATGGTTTGTGTCTGTAACCAAGGACTTCACGTTTCGTATCGTTTGTTGTTTTGTTCGTGTGGTGAATTAATAAATAAGTATGTTCACTTATCACGCTGCGCATTGGTCCACTTCCTCTGACGATCGTGACACAAATGCTGGCTTTCACATGCAACAACTATTTCTATACTAAAGGCCAAGGTCTTTTCAATTGAGGCTCACTTCTCAAAGGTCTACACAATTA